TGGCCTCACCGTGTCCGCGCGGGGCATGAGGGGCAGAGCTTCGACCTTCCTGTCGCCCCAGTGCGGGTGCAAGCGGACGCCTGTCCCGTCGTCGCGGTGCAACACGAAATCCCACATCGGCAGCTTCACTTTCACCCGCTGCCCCGCGAACTGTCGCGCGCGCACAATACTCTGGCGCATGTGGTCGTAGCTGTTTGGCCGGACTTCGAGGGGGCAGCCAATCAGAGCCCCGCTGCTGCGGGGCCCCCCCACGACCTCCCTGGCATCTTCCTCCCTGAGCGTCGCCACCATCTCTTGCCACCGCCAAGGGACTTCCTCGTCGCTTCTGAAACCAAGGCTCGTTCTCGCACCGTGGTCGCAAACAGCGACCATGGTGGGCTCCACATTGTCAAACCGCTTGGCTTCTGACTCGAACGGGGCAGTTGGGTCTTCATTCAGGTGGCGCCACCATTTCAACGCTTGGTTGTGTTGCTTAAACGAAGTGTCGAGCCTCTCTTCATAACTCAAAAAATAATTAACATCAAACTTCTCAAAATCCTGGGGCCCGCGCGCCGCCGCCGCTGCGGTGGCGCGGGGCTCCTGCGCCGCAGGCGCGGCTCGGGATCCCGACCCCTCTCCTGAAACTGTGCCCCCAGGTTCTGGTGAGTTTCGGAGGGCAGCCCTCGCGAAATCATCGAATTCGGGCATGCCGAGACCAGGGGCGCGGGGGCTCACAACGCTAAGCGCGGCGAAGCGAGACGGCCGTTGAGGCGAGACCGCCGCCGCTGCTGCGGCGGCAGGGCCATCGCGCCATTTGGCGTCCTCCGTTGGCGTGTTCCCGTCTTGTCGCCAGTCTCTCCAACCCCGCGCTGACCAATCATGGCCGCCCTCCCAGCCACGCCAGCCGCTGCTGCGGCTATCCCACCATCCTCCCGCGCCACCCCATGTGTATCCGCCTGCATCGCCCATCGCAAGACGATGGCGCAGGCGCGCGTTAGGCCGCGACGGGCCCGGCTGCACCGTTGCTCGCGGGCGATCCCACGGGCGCGGGATGGGTTGAGCATAGCGGCGACGGACGACGCGATGTGATTGGACGGCGGAGAACTTGAAAGGAAGGGGGGTTGGAAACGGAAGAACGAAGTGGACGAAGAGCGGAAATCGAACCAGAGGGGGGCGAAAAAAGAGCGGAAGAGAATGAGGACATGCAGACGAAGGAGTGACGAGGTAGATGGCGGGCCAGAACGGCAACGGAGAATAATGTGGTGGAACATGCGAAAAGGACGCATGGAACAACACGACGAGGATCACAGACGCAAAGATGATGATCGCAGTGGTAGCATGACATATCCGAAATCAAGAAGCAGGATGAGGAGGAACGGGATGACGAGCAACTCTGTCACAGAGAGCCTCCGAACGCACCCCCTCTGTCACAGAAGGCCTCCAAACGCACCCCCTCTGTCACAGAGGGCCTCCGAAAAACACCCCCTCTGTCACAGAGGGGGGAAATGATCACTTTAATGCGGCTTCTGGATTATCCCTCAAGCGCCGCAGGAAGGCACTGGGATGGACCAGAACACGGGCCTCCGTCGGGGCGGAGGACTTGGTGCTCGAGCCCAAGTGGCTTGAGGGAGGAGGAGGAGGCGGAGGAGGAGGAGCAGGAGGAGGAGGAGAAGGAGGAGGAGGGGGAGGAGGGGGAGGAGGAGGAGGAGGAGGAGGAGGAGGAGGAGGAAGAATCATGAGGCCCTCCACGAATGGGGCGAGGCGACGCGAGGCGAGCGCAGACACTCCGCTCTCCGCGCGCTCGCGCGGAGAGCGCCTCTCCCTACGGAGGACGGCGGTGCCGCCGTGGCCCCCGAGAGAGAATCCGTCCAGTTGCTTCTAATTGGGCGCGACTCAGTGGGGGGCGATCCTCCTCCTCCTCCTCCTCCTCCTCCTCCTCCTCCTCCTCCTCCTCCTCCTCCTCCTCCTCCAGGGCCGAGGCCGGGTGGACCGCCGCAGGACCCCTCGAAGCCGCCCACCCTGCCGCGGCTGGTGGAGAAGATCGGCCTCGGCCGCGCGCCCGGGGCCGCCGCCCGACCGCCAGACCGCCGCCGTCGGAGGGCGCGACTAATTGGGGTGGGGAGACAGGTGCTCTTCTCGGGCCCGAAAGACTCCCATGGGGGCCCGAGGTGGCCTCTGCAGGGGCCCTAGAGAGGGCTCCTTTTCTTCAGCCCTCGCTGCACCCCAATTTTGTTGCTCCGTTGATCCCCACCACTGCCCCCGATTCTGGGCACATGTGATCTCCTCTGGGCCCCTTGGCGGAGTTCTGGATCCCAGAATCGGCGGCGAGCGAGGGGGGAAGTAGAAGGAGAGGGCCTTCTCATAAGGCGGCGGGGCTTCTCAGAAGCCCTCGCGACTTCTGAAACATTTCTCTGTGTCCTGAGCCTTCCCCGAGGACAGTTCCTGAGCCGTCCCAGAGGACATTCTTCGGGGAAGGCCCAGAAAACTTCTCACATGCCCGCCTCCTCCTTCTCGCTTCCCCCCGGGCTCGCCGCCGGCAGAAGGTTAAACCGTGCGGCTCCACCTCTCCAGCCAGCCAAAGAAAAAGAGGGGGGGGGGGGGCGGGGGAGGCGCACGGGGGGGGGGCGCGGGGAACGGCCTACGGGAGACCGCAGACGGCCGCAAAAAGAGAGCCGGGGCTCGGGGATGGACAGACCCCCCTTCAGTAAAACGTGGTTTAGTGAGAACGACCCGAGGCCCAGACCTGGCGGGCGCAAGCCTGGAAAACAACGGCCGCGGCGCCCTCTCGAGAACCGAACACGGACAATTCACTAATCGACGTGTCACTGTTGGGGGTTCTGTCCGCCCCCGAAAAAAAAGAGAGCCGGGGGCTCGGAAGGCCGTGCCACCAACCAAAGCATTATATAGCGGGCCCCGGAACGCGCAGCACCATGTGGCCTGACTTTGCAGAGCACGGTGGCGTCGTCTCGGCACGGGGGGGGCTCTCGTCCGATAGCGGGCCCGCCTCGTCCTTCTCTCGTCACGTTGGTTTGCCGAGTCCATTTTGTTTCTCTCTCTCTCTCTCTCTCTATATATATAGATATATCGTGTTGTTGTTTCTCTCTCTCTCTCTCTTGTCTTCCTCGCACTACGTACTCATATTCATGCCTTGACATACATCTGTGTATACGGATATTCGTCCTAGTTTACGCATGCGTCCACGCATATCTAGGTACATACCTGTACCACAACTAAATGAGGATACAGCCGTTCTCTCTACACGCCCTCCCCACACTAGAATTATGTATATCTCCCTCCATCTCGCGATATCCTTCTCCCTCTTGCTCAGTATTATTTTATGTTATAAATTTATGTTTCTCCCTCTCTCTCTCTCACACGCTATGTGCACGACTTCTGTGTTTGGTATGTCTCCAACCTCATCTCCGTCCTCCTCCTCCTCCTTTCCCTCGTCTTTTCCATGTTTCTCCGTCCTCCTCCTCCTTCTCCTCCTCAGCCCCCCTCCCTCGTCCACCCCTCCTCCTTGCATGTCGACGCCCGCGTGCCACTGCCACCAGGGCATGGCGATCCCACCCCGCGACCCTGTCGGGCTCCCGACCCGACAACGGAAGACAGACCGGGGGGGGGATTCACAGGAGCGGGGGGGAGCGGCATGCTCGATGAAGGGTGCGTCCACCCTCCCCCCTCCACTGGCGCGCACCATCGAGGCGAGGTTCTCTCCTCCGTCTGAGGGGCCACTGGCTGCTGGAGGCTCGGTGATTTTCGAAGGGGGACGATCGAGGGGGAACCAACTCGGGGCGGGGGAGGGGGAGGGGGCCTTCTCCTGGATGATGGGGAAGATTGACAGGTACCCGAGCACAAGCAATTCCCTCAGAACCCCTATCGCCATCAGCAGGCTCCCGAGGAACATCTGGAGGCTGGAGACTGACCGAAGCACCATCACCAACATAACACCGATGACCTGACCCACTGGCAGCACGGGGCCGACCAAACCCACGCGGGGCCACGTGCCTCTTACAGACCGGCAGAACGACAACTCGTCTCCGCGCTTCCGCCGCGCGCGACGTCGCGGCTGGGCTCCGATGGCCTAGTGCGCCGTCGCGCCGCCGCCGACCGAAGTCGGCTGGGTGCCGCCACTAGGAGCGGACTGTTGTGTAGGGGAAACAATACATGCCATAAAGATAAACTTTTGGCGCTCCGCGCGGATCTCTTGGACCTGCGCTGGACCCCCCTCCCTGGCGCGCGGAGCGCGTCAAGGGCGGCGCCAGAGGCGCTGCCAGGGGGCCCCAGGCGCCGATCCAAGAAATCCGCGCGGAGCGCCAAATAAAAATGCTTACGGCGGTTTTTTCTTTATCGATCGCCGCAGCGCCCGAGGAGGAGAACGAGGAGGCGGAGGAGGAGGAGGAGGAGGAGGAGGAGGAGGAGGAGGCGGAGGAGGAGGAGGAGGAGAGGGGGGGAGTTTGGAGGCCTCCAGCCCTCCGAGAAGCTCTCCGAGCCCGCTCCGCCGCCGCCGCCCTCCGAGATGGCGCTGCCCCCTCGCCCTTCAGCCTCCGGCGCGCCGCCGATCACTGGCGTTTTCCGGGGGTCCCGCCGTACATGTTTTTTGGGTGCTCGGGGGTCCCTCGACTGCCTGTCCGGTCCTGGGGGGTCCCACCTACTGCTCGTGCTCCTCCTCCTCCTCCTCGGCCTCGTGCGACGCCTCGTCGGACTGTTCCTGCCTCCATCTCCTGGGCTGCGCGTTCTCATCGTCCAACATACTTTCACGGCTCCTCTTGCTCTTTGTCTTGCCTCCGTAAATCTTCTCGTCCTGCTCATCGGCGCTATCGTCCCCTGCACCCATTCACCCACCTGCTATTGCTCCTCGTGCTCCTCTTCCCCTTCCTTCCCCTCATCCGCTCGTCTTGTTTTTTTAGTGTCTCACTCCTCCCTCCTCCCCTCTCGTCGACCCTCCAAGTCCCTCCTCCTCCAACCTCTGTGTTCATCCCTTCTACTCTCCCATCGCATGTCCCATCTCACCTTCTTGT